TACCTTCTCCTAGCTGTCGCGTTGTGGATACGAACCCACGCTTGGATGTTTCTTTTGTGGCTTGTATCATCACCATAAATATGCTGTCCTGGCAAAGATTAGGCTCTTTGCATGACTTGATCAAGTTCATCTCCATTCATCTTGCATCTTACCGTATACACTCATGCAAAGTTCTACCCAGCTATTTTTATGGCGCTGCGTAACCTTTAACGACTACGTCTTATTCAGACCCGTATTGACATTTTGACTGGTCATGTTTCGATAGCCCCGTTTAGTTTCACATTGTTCACACCTTATATTTATAGAAGGCGTAGCACTTCCTTTTTAAGTTTCACGGGGTCTAAACCTCCTATTTATAGAGGGCGTAGCGCTTATAAGAATCCTTCTTTCTGCTCGGTGAGTGACACGAATACTCTGAATCGCGAGTGACAGGAATATTCTAGCTCGTATGCAGATTTTGATCGGTCGTGCTTCGATAGACCTTGATTAGTTTCACACGTCATAGATTGGTCACGTGGTCTACCTCTTCCATTTGTGACCCTCCACGAGATTTCAGGGAATAAGGTGAACACACGCACACGGCAAGTTATAACACGCTCACACGCTAATGACATGACACGCTTACCATGCGGTATGCACATGAAAACAATTGACACTGGAGAGCGTGTGGGTAGCCATTGTTCATATCTGGTTTAGTAGAGCTTTGTTTTTGTAACACGCTAGAATTTTTGTTTTGTAACACGCTAAGTTCCTTTGTTTCCTTAACACGGTAGAATTCTTAACACGCCAGCTTTTCTTGTACAACCCATCTTACTTCGTTAGTTGTGTTTGTCAGCTTCTTATTTGCGAGAATGGTGCTTGTAAAGTTTATTACTCATACAGCGAGAATAAAGAATTTCTACTGTCCTATTCGAAAGTTTCAATAAAAAAAATAAGCAAACATTCACGGCAATTTACGACTCTTTGTCTCATGATTTTCGCGAGTAATCCAGCATTACTTGTTTCACAAATAGGTTCAGAGGAGCTCAGTTTGCACACATGAATTATCGTTTTTTAAAACTTCTTACCTTGTAAAATATATAGCCTTATCGTTTCACGTAATTACATGTACTAAGCCCAGTATCGGATCTTTTTGGATCCTTTAGGAACAGATTTCCGGCTTCATGCCTCCTGATCGACGCGATTGCCGCTCGTCACTCTATGCGAATCGGCGCTTTGAAAATGAATAAGCGCTAGTTAGTCGAGCGAGGCTGCGAATTACTGTACGGCGATCTTGGCATCTTACGAGCTTAGTCTTTAGTGCTGCGGTATATACGTTTCGTAACGCAACTGTAACGCGAGGATAATTAACATTAAAATTGTGGTAGGTATTAACGAGTTTTTTAGTTCGCAAACCGAACAAACTTCAAGTTAACTCCTCTGGACCCTGTGCGTGCATTCAGTTGCTTTTGAGAACACAGTTTACAAGCAGAATGATAATTATTGTAAAATACTTATCAAAGTGTTATAAATGGTTGTAATTTCAGACGTTTCACGTGCATAACCTTTTTTCATAGTGCGAGACAACTGTTAAAATACTCCGACAAGACGTCAAATGGAAGCATGTGCACGTGTTTACAGTAGCGCGAGCATATAATTGTATAATTCGCAAAAATAAAGCTGAAATTGACAGCCCGTTCGGCTGAACAGTTCCCAGCTGAAAAATCCCTCACTTATCAACGGAGGTGAAGTCATTCGCTTTGCATCATACAAGTTCGCTTTAATACTAAAGCTTACGTTTGTCAGTTATATATGCATTTGTGCTTGGCTAGCTACCTTCATAAGTTTATGATTTCAAGAGAAGAGGACATTGCTCGATCGGCCCGTGTTTAGCAAGCTGCTTTAAGAAAACGAGAAATTCGAAAATAAAGGAAGAATCCAAAAGCAGGATTAAATGAACGGACAACAAGTCGAGACACCATCCTGTTCGGCGATACATTGACCGATGTTGCACTGGATATTGACAACTAGAGTCGTATTGGTGAGCTAATAGATAGCCTTACAGCTTACGAAGTCCTGCTTGTACAAATCAAAAGAAACTTTAACTTCAAAGAGCGTGCTAAAAATTTAACACGGTCACCGTGTTATACCGTGCAAAAATGCAGAGAAGATCTTAACACGTTCCTTTGTCTCTACCGTGCGAAGGAAGACTGCGATGTTAATGAGGCAGGTAACTAACACAGAGCTAACGTGTTATAAGCTAGTTCTTTTGTTTTAGCGTGCGAACGTGCCGTGTCCGTGCGTTTACCTCATTCCCTGAAATCCCGTGGAGGGTCACATTTAGAGAAGGCGTAGCGCTTCTTTTTTTACGGATAGTTCTTTCCGCCTGGTGAGTGACGCGAATAAGAATTCAAGTATACAAAGGTCTTTGTCTCTCTATAATGCCTTTGGACGTAAAGGGTTCCACTTTTGTGTGCAAAAAGATAATTGCTGAGTCTGATATTTCAGCCTAAAATAGTGATTGTATTGTGGTACAATGTACAGAATCAAGAGGACATAATCACTTGACAGAATGTAGCTGTTTACCCGTTTTACGAATTGGCATTTGGTTCTCTTCTACAGACAGAAAACGTCGTCAACAGACCTCTTCCAAAGTAGGGATTTAGTTGTGCTCTGGTTGATAATACCCCTTTTTTTTTTTTTTTTGCCTTAAAAATAGTAACAAAAGCTACTGCCGTTCTGGTATTCTTTATTGATTTCGTTCGGTTAATGAGAAAAAAGTATCGATTTCCCGGATAATAAAACTAACAGTGGCGTGCAAAGCACAGTTTGAGCATTTTCAGGCTTTCAGCTCCATTTCTGTAACTTATGGTCGCAGGAATTTCTGTTTAAAATCTACCTGAATTAATGGTCACAAAAATGATCTCGTTTCGTCTCGATTTTTAAATGTAATGGTTGTTTTACAGTTTCTTTTAAAACAAATATGTTTAGTTAGTGTATAAAAGATGTAAATAATGACATCGAATAAAATTTTGCAAAGTTTGCCATGAACATCTCAAGGACGAGGATGCTGAGCTTAAAAAGATATTGAAAATGGCGCCTTCACTTCATTGTTTTTATGGTCAACAATTTTCGCTTTAAATCAAAACTAAGTCACATAATAAGAAGATATTTCTCAGCTTTTATCGGACGCGGTAACACTCAGCTTTAAAGAAACCGGGTTACGTGCCTCGTATGGTTTTTGAGGGAAAAACCATTCCAAAATCTCTAAGTCGAACCCTTCTGATAAATGCGATAATATTTTTTTAGTAGATAAGACAAAGGATATCTTTCTATACTCCCCTCTAAAGCTCAAACCTTATTAGATTTCTTCTTCTACTTGTCCCCTATAAATTAATGTTAGGAGGGGGAGGAGGAGGAAGTGTAGGTAGGAGGGAGGGAGTGGGGGGAGGGGGGTGGGTACTGCTAGCTTCCTCCTGGCTTACTTAAAAGAGGAGCAATCATACCCAAAGTCCATAAGGAGACTTAGCTCTTGCTTGTTTCAGTAATTCATTTTGTAAGAGTTTATGACATTCCTCTTACAGAAAATCTTCATGAAGAACCTGGATCGAACTGTTACTGGGCTATCTTTAAACAGAGCTCGGAAGGAGAAGGGGTAAGATGTTGTAAAAACCATTCTTAAGTGTATTGTTAAACATTAACTTTGTCAGCATAAGGTACATGTATATGCAATTTTCATTGATAAAAAACTGAAACTGATGTCGTTACGGTAAAATCTCAAACTGAGGCATTGTCTTATTTACCTCCAGGTAGTTTCAAACGCGAATTCTTTACAGCTTCGTATATTAGATAAGAGCTTCAATGTAGCCTTGTTTGTTCACCTTGTCCCTTTCAGCACAGTCTTATTTTGAAACCTTTAATCATACCAATCAAGAAGCAAAAAAACAACCCTCATTTATGATGTTATTGGGGAGAAATATTTTACAAGTGCAATATAGAGCTTTACCCGTGTCTACATACTCTCATTGAAACACTCGATTTTCTATTCTAATCAGTTGTGTCAATTGTTTTAGCTAACTATCACTTGGACTGTTCTAATTCCTTACCATGAATCTGATTAAACTTATTTTTTAATCAGTGTTTACATAAACTTGGTATTGCTAATGTTTTTCCCTGTACATCTTAGTTGATTTCAATATTCTTCTTATCGTACAATAAACTAAAACTTCCAATTATTTTACTAGATATTTGGCAAGCCTGAGTGCCTTAGTAATGGGGAATGGAGCACGACATATAACTTAGCCTGCCTTTGCAATCATACCTCTGAAGTCATCAATAATGGTAAAACATAGATGGAAAGCTTGTATTGAACATGTACTGCTCGGCCGTACTTTACACGTTCATATCGATTCCATCGGCGGGCGTAGATAAATGGCCTAGGACCTAAGACCCGAAGACGAAGACCTGAGAACAAAGAAACCCCTCTTTGCAAACTACCATTTTTTCAAGTATCGTTTCGTTTCGCTTCGTCTCGGTTTTTTTTTTTTCGCAGATAGATGAACTTATCTTTAGTTGTTTAGGGTCTTCGTTTTCGGGTCTTTGATTTCCGGTCTTAGTCGCCAGCTCTGAAAATCCCAAGTTGAGTGTTTGTGTTAAATTTATGTACACATGTTATTAAAAAAACCTGAGTGATAGCGACCATGAGAGTCATTAGGAGTGAAGACAAAAAGAGTCGTCTCGGTGCCATGGTTATCAAAATCTGTCTTTTAGTTTCTGTCGCAGACACTAATCAGTTGCATGGTAGCAGCAATTTTGTTTTTAATAGTACGCTACTTGGTCATTGCATTAATGTGTTCCAAAGAAAAGGCATGTTGATGAAATTGCGCGGTGTTTCATTTTTAGAGTGTCAGAAAGGTTTCTAGAAGGATTCTATTTGTAATGAAAAATGTATACCTTCTCCTTCATATTCAGCCTCAAATACTAACACAACTGGTTTCGTGTGCATGTATAATGAAGGTTACTACCGATCATCTAATGCGACAGATTGTGAAGGTATGTTAACTATTCATAATGGTCTGGACCAAATCATAACCAAGTGATAAAATATCTAATACCTGAAGAGGATCATCTCGATGTTTTCTTAGTGGACACGCTCTTAAATATCTTAAAAAGTAGGTAAGGGTAGGGTACTGGTGAAATACCTGTCATTTATTTCTCATACTTTAGTTGGAATTCTTCCTGAAGGTATCAACACTGCATTTAAAGGGTTGTTAAGTAATTTGTCGGGAATTACATTAAAAGTTGTACGCGTAGAAAAAGGCGTCATGACTCAGTGGAGGATTGTCAACATGTATTTCATATGTTGCTGTTGTTTTCAAGGATCCACAAGGATTTTGTATGGTGCAGTGATTGGATCAACTGCTACGATGGTTGGTGCTGGAATACTTCTCTTTTTCGTATGGACGTTAAGAAAGCGCAACAGCAAGAACTCAAATAGTAAGAGTTGTATAGATGCCAACTTTGACCCCGAAAAAAAATTCGCGTTGTTCTTTGTTTGTTAAGTTTGTTTCTTTTATTTTCTAAGCCTCATTTAAAAACAAGGTAGGTTTGAAGATTTCGAAACAGTTCTAACACATCCCTTTTTCAAAAAAAAACATATCAGTGTCCAACTTAACTTGAAATGCAGACTCGAAACTTGTAAGAAATTCACAATGAAATTTGACAAACGCACGATGAAAGAAAATTCAAGAAAAAAACAACTGAAGTCAATCGCGGAGAACAACAAGATGGCGCGAAAGTCTCCACGTCAATTTTAAATGTCAACATTTAGTCTGTAGAAGAGATTGGTTGATTTGTGATATCTCGTTCACCACGCGTGAATTCTAAAAGGTTTAGGTCAGGCTAAGATAACACAGAGAATGTCCTCCATGATTTTTTTCGTTTAAAAAATACACACACGTCAAAAAAATTCCCAACCGTGATTGTATGCCCTCGTTTGATCATCGTGTTTCCATCATTTTATGATTTCAATCATTGCACTAGACTTGTAGCACACCACTTCTATTTCAAATTATCCATGCCTAAAGGACATTATTTTGTATTTCCTTTGAATTAATCTCTGAGTTTCTCTGTATATACTTTTCACGCTGGGTTTTCTTTCTTTCCTTCTTTCTCATGATACGTTTTTCGTACTTCATTTTTCTTGACGTCTTGGGAACAGGAAAAAGAGAAAGGTAAGATTTATAGAACGATAAACAATCGTCCTATTTAATTTCTTGTTTTGTTACCTGTTGCAAACTATGTACAGCTGTTAATTTTTTCTGTAAAGATGGGTTATAATAGTTACACTCGGGGCAAGAGCTCATCTCAAGTCAATTTCCTAAGGCATCCTTTAACGTGATGACTTTTGAACCACTCGCGAGACTTATAAAGTGTGGGCTATCCAGATGTAGTTATTTTTTTCCAGAGCTAGTCCGCTTCATGCTAAGTACAAAATGCTTAGCCATAATATTTATGAAACCTTATCATGACTTTCTTTGAGCCAATATAGCGGTGCAAAATGTGGCGTGCTGTCACTAATCGTTTAATGACTATAGCTATGGAGTGCTCAAAGGCGAGCTTTTCCATCGGAACAAATCGTCCACCTTTTTTCGTCCAGTTGAATTCGAATTTGACAAAAAAATATGATATTCCTTTTTTACTTTTAGGACAAACAGAGAAACAACAGAAGATATTGGACTTGTTGATGTAAGTCACTTGAAGATTTTAACAATTGACCTTATTGTGGTGGAACACCGTACGTCCTTTTTCCCTGTGAGGGCACCACAACGCATCCTGAAACCTGTTGGTTTTTATTGCGGTCCAGATTTTTCATCTCTGCCCAAAGGGCACAATAACAGTAAAAAATAGTCATTTAACTCGAGTAGGTTTGCAAAACCAGTCCTGTTGTTCATTCAGAAGGTGGCATACATTTATTGATTTTTCTAGGCCTTCTCTAATTGGCAGGTATCAAATTTCGGCAGAAAATTTTTTTTCAAAGCTTGCCTGGAAGTCCTTTTAAGTCACCGTTGTCATGTACACAAATGGTGATTTTGTGATGAAGCCTTTATTTTTTGAATTCAATAGCCTCGGTTTGTCTTATTTTCCACTCGCTAAGAAATGTATCTGTTTATGGAAGAACCTGCCGTAATATTGGTTCGTAGGAAAACTGTACCCTCTGACTTATGCTCTTCCCAAAACTTAACGACTCAGGCTGGTGAATAACATGAATACTGATATAATTCGACTCATTGTTCCAATTACAGGTACTGCCTCAAAGTGAACAGGTTGCGCCAGGAAACAGCTAAACAAAATGAAAGTCTAATACGAACTGGCACATTGTTTTTCTTTTTAACTCAGCTGACTTCAGCTTCCTTTTCAGTAATAAATTCACAAAACAAAAGTAAATGATCGATATTGCCATAGGCGGTTATGAATTTGGGCAACATGTACTAAAAGAAAATAGACTACCTAGGTGATATTATGTACTAGACACATTCGCACGAAATTGTATACGTGAAAAACGAAATAATAAAAATGGAGGATTTGAGAGACTTTCCACTGTAGTCTAAGTAAATGATTATGTTTATAGACTTGGCTTGAAATGACGGATCCTTCTCAAAGCCAGCAGTGCATGGTATTAGATGAGCGGAATCGGTCGTCCCCCATTACAAATGCAGAGCGGGTCAACCTTCTACAACCTTCCGAGCCAGTAAATGACTACTCCTCTCTCTATTCACCGCCACGCTGTTGGGAGATTCCTATAGAGCTCGTGACTCTAAAAAAGGTCATTGGTAAAGGGGCTTTTGGTCAGGTTGCTAAGGCAGAAGTCAGAGGCCTCCAGGGAAGACCAACGACGATACTCGTGGCTGTTAAGATGTTGAAAGGTATGAAATAAAAGATAAAAGTACACGCGTTTGTGTGAAACTCCGAAGTAACATTCTCGCCAAAAAAACGAAGACATAACCTCCAGCAGATACCTTCATGACCTCAGTAAGTTGATAATAAGACGCTCTGAAGCTAGGTATAACTAAACCATGAATAATTTGACTAGACCTGTAATCGAGACATGACAAACGTCTCGCGTGTAATTACCATGAAACTGGAACGTTCGTTATCAGCTGGTAAGGCTCCTCTTCCAAACCATCAAAAAAAATCTACCCTTCTTTCTACAAGAACTTACTGACACAAAACGTATATAAGCAGAAATTTAAATTCTTGCTGACATCAAATCTCCTACTTCCCAACTACTTAAAAGTAGCAAACTTCAAAGACTGCTTTTTCCGAATGAAATTCGTATAGCGTATTTCATAACATTATTATTTCATGACAACATGATTTTGAGTAGGATGGTCCATGACTGAGCAACACAGAGCTCAGAGTCAGATAGGAAATGTGCCACTTATTTCGCTTCAGTTACTGTTATTGCTTGGTCTTTCAGAGCACGCTTCCGAATCGGACAGGAAAGAATTGTTGTCTGAACTTCAATTGATGAAGGAACTCGATGCCCATCCTCATGTCATTAAACTTCTGGGATGTATCACGAGATCTGGTAAATAAGGAAAAGTATACTGTAATTGCCCAAACAGTTATTTTTGGGCCGATCTCTTTCTCCCTAAAAAATTAACATACATTGTATATTTTCACGCTTCCCATGTTTTACAGGACCATTGATGGTATTAACTGAATATGTTCCCTATGGAGATCTACTGGGATACCTGAGAAAAAGCCGTGGATTGAATGACACTTACTTCCAAGACCCGGATATCAAACCTAAAACAAATCTGACCTCAAAGCAGCTGATGAAATATGCGTGGCAAGTTGCCGATGGAATGTCATATTTGTCATCGATACCAGTAAGCAAGAGCGCCATATTTAGTGAACTGTTACAATGATCATAACTTTTTATTATCTTCGTTCGATTCTTTTGGACTCCCTTAACTGGTTTCGTGATTTGTGTTGATTTGTCGTAGATTATCCATCGAGACATTGCAGCTCGTAATGTATTGGTTGGGGAAGGGGAAACGTGCAAAGTAACAGACTTTGGTATGGCCAGAGATATTCAAGAGGACAACATTTATCAAATGAGGTCAAAGGTACCATAAGTTGGTGCTCCAATTAGCTAATTTGTATGAGGGTCTTTATTGGCTCTGTTGGTTGCTCTTCAACATATCATATCATCACTAGTATTATTCAACCAAGGTAAAAATTGGTGACAAGTCTGGTACAAGAAAATTTATGACTTTCATTTTGACTCTTTCATAACTCTTGCTAATCAATTCAAATCGTTTTTCATTTAGGGACGTATCCCTTTAAAATGGACTGCTTTTGAGGCGCTGCTGCATGGAAAATATTCCACAAAAAGTGACGTGTGAGTACAAAGAATACATAAACATATTTTTTGGGGGGTTTTATGAAAATGGCCTCGAATAAAATGTTTTCAGGTGTGGGAAAAGTTATTGGATTCACTCTGTAATGTGGTCATTATATCTTATTGTGGTGCATCTCTCAGAGGGAGTGGTAATGCACTTTCTGGCTTTAAGTTATGATTACTGGCCCAGGATCGGCTTGTGTGATGAGTAAAGTGACCTTCTTCAGAGGTTTTATCGAAGATGTTGATTTTTTTCATAAACAAGGATGATCATTTCCCCAAGTTTATTCCATTTGTTTTACAGGTGGAGCTACGGAGTTCTCCTCAATGAGATTGTCACGATTGGTAAGTTGCAAAGCTGATAGGCAGGCCATTAACTTTTAGCCTTAAAATTTGTGTTAACACTTTAAGAAGTCGGCAGGCGGAGCTGGGAAAAAATTAACAATGGTACAGGAATTATAGAGTAAAAATATATTTATAAAATTTGTAAATAAAGAGTAAGATAGTTGTATCAAGGGTAACTTCTTTTATTTCAGGTGGCACACCATATCCAGAGATGGATGGAAGACAGACTTTAACGTTGCTAAATTCGGGATACAGAATGCCCAAACCACAACACGTGGATGATAAGTTGTATGAAACAATGGTGTTGTTCTTGTTTTTGTTTTTGTTTTTTTCTTACGACGCCTTTTCTGGTGAAATACTTTCTATTTTTGGATTAAGGGTTTTAGGACTCTTCTTTTTTAGTTAAAATTAAAGTTGCTTTACATGTCGAGCAGGTTTTCCTACAGGAAATATTGGAATAAGTCAATTAACTCGATGTTTTCTCTTGTAATTAATAAGAAAAAAACCAAATGTTGTTATTGTTCATTTAGAAAATGGTAACATCTTGAGCCTTAGGACGCCATAACTGGTGCTACTAATAAAGTGCTGAGATATTCCTGACGTCTTTGTGTTTTAGGTATGACATAATGACAAACTGTTGGAAAGATGACCCTGACTTGAGACCATCATTTGAGAGTTTGAGAAACGAACTGAAAGAAATGGAAGACCAGCACAAGGTAGAATCGTAGACTTTACCAAGAGGCTTTTTAACCCCTGATCGTTCTAATTTTGATCTCGCACACACAAAGATTCACAGTGGAATATAATTAATGTCAAGTTACCGGAGTTTCAAAGCTATTTTTACTAAATTCTGAGGTAAAAATGACAGATGAGAATTTAACACATTGATTCTGAACAAGTTCCAAAGCCTGATTTGAAGACACGGAAAGAGAATTGACTGTGCATTTCATGAAATTCTCCGAATCCATTAGCGAATATCCGAAATAAATACGAAGTCGTATTTAAGTAGTAAAAGTAAGTTCCTTTGAACGATCAGTTCAGTTCGTCAACAGCGGCACACTGTAATGTTCCTTACCTCTTTCAATTAAAAGTAACATTTTCAACCTACCGCTGTAAAATGCACTTAACAATGGCGTTGGTATGGAGGCCTCGAACATTTAATTGTTCACTTTACTTCGACAATTTTCAAATATAATTCCGCCACCAACTTGCTTTTACGTGGATTAAAAGTCATTTGAACAAGTGGCTCTATTGCAAGCTTACAAGAGCAACTATCCAATAATTCAAGTACATTACTAATTTTTTTTTTCCTTTTTAATCAGGGGCTGATAAATTTGGACAATTACGATGATCGACTCTATGTTAATGCTGACGATCTTGTCATACAATCATTTGAATTTTCATGAAGCAGTGGAAGGAGTAATAAATCTATACTATTTAGGATTTGACGTTCACCATTCCTTTTGTTTTAATTAGGAAAGTATAAAAAATACGCTTAATAGCGAACTGGGACAAAGTACAGCTTTCAGATATTTTTGTGCGAATTCTTAGGGTTTTTGGTATGTGTTTTTTAACTATATTAGAGAAGCAAACTATAATTTTTTTATTAACATTATAGATTTAAAATTTTTCAGTCAAATTATCTATTATCTTTTAAGTTGTTCATAAATAATTGTTGTTAAATAACTTCCAATAAATACATGCGCAATGAATAATTTTAAAGGCGTGATGACTATTGCAACCGCTCTATTGAACCACGAGTTTATTTTCCCCATGTATGTCCAGTACCACGGCTCGTATCGGATCGTGTGATCTATAATAATAATATTAATAATAATAATAATAATAATAATAATAATAATAAGAATAATAATATTCACGAGTCGTACGACCCATATGGGTTGTCTCATGATATCACGAGTCGTACGACCCATACCTATCGTCTGATACATTCACCGTCTGTACAATCCATACAGATCGTTCGATGTATTCACGAGTCTTACGACTCGTGAGGATCGTCCAATGTATTAATGAGTCCCAAAGTTTTTCAGATATCCGTGACTAATAATTGAGAAGATTTTGCCACCTTTCTTTAACATCAAGAAATGGTTAGATATTCTAGTCTTCTTGGATAGGGACGAATAAATGGAGGTCCCGTCTCCTGCAGGGTTGGGGTGGGAGACGTTAATTTCCCACACACGAGATTACTGCGTGATAGATGTCCTCCCCTGGGGTGGGATGGGTTGGAGGGTGGACTAGCACGAATGGTTCGTATGTTCCTTTCTGGTCCTTCCCCACTGCAAAAATTAATGCAGTGAAAATGGAGTAAATTAAGTTAAATTTACTATTTACGCGTTTACATATTCTCATATGCAACACTCGAGTTCCTTTTTAGATCTTTGGTGTTCATTTTCTCAGCAAACTATCCCCTAAACTGTTTTAGCAAATTTTTTTTATGATGAATCTAATTAAACTCATTTTTAAACAGTCATTAAATAAATTAGGTAAGGAATGTTTTTCCCCCTATATCTATGATAATTTCAGTATTCTCCTTTCCATTCTCCAACAAAGTAGAAATTCTAATGATTTTACTTGAAAGTATGAATAAAGGGGAGTGAAATCTAAGTCATCGAAAATTAGTACTATTTATTATTCCAAAGAGGTCTGAGCGTACATGTATGAAAAACTCAGGTGCTTCGTAGATATTGCACGAACAATCTCATACGCTGTAAAATCGTGTCAGTATGGTTACATTTATGTGATAGTTAGATTTGGTTATTTTCAAAAATCTTGATTCATGTTCAACAGTCATTGTGGGTATCAGCCCATCTGAAAATAATCAATACTCGTTTAGTATCTGTGCAAAAAGTAAAGTATACAGTGTACCTGCATGTATATTGTGCACAGACGAATCACATTCGGAGGGAATAAGATGATTCTTTGGTCTCTTACAGTGGAATCATCCTTCCACTCAATCACCAGTTTACTCAGTCTGTGATATTTCCAACAAAATTGAGGAAGCAAAGAACTGGTTAAGAACAGAATATATTAAGATGAAAGATGCTACACGACTCGATAGTGAAGTCACCTACACTCTTCGTAGCTGCCCCTCTGCTTAGGTGAGGCCATTGTGCAGAACAAACTTTATGCTTTATTCTTATTACACGGGTTACAAATTGGATCCTGATTCAGACTCAAAAAACTTAAAGTTCCACAAAGAAACTGATATAACTTCAAAAAACACTTCCTGGGCCAAGTAAACGCACGACAGTCACATCTTATGGGTCATTCGTAACAAACGCAAAAGGAGTTCATTTGGCATCCTTAGACCAAGGAGCCTGCATGACGATAAGAACATTTGTTGTAAAATATCGTTTCTGCTCTGAAACGGTCGCTCCGCTGGTTAGAGCAAAAGATATCAATCTTACCAGTCATGAAAGAGAATGTACAGATCCTAAATCACTTAAAAGAAACAACCAAAATATATTTGGCGTGTGCCTTAGTAATGGGGAGTAAAGTATCAAATACAGTGAATCCAAACCCGTTCTCTATTTTTCCAGGCCGTGGTTTGCAACTCCTCGCATCTAAACTCAGAATGTTCCAAAAACTGCGATCTGCTTCCCGGGAACCGTCATCGCAGAGCCCTCCCGTGTAGTGCACCTGTGTATACCAGTTTACTCAGCCACGGCCCTATCTGGTTAACGAGCTCTAAGCAGATTAAAGCTATAGAATTAAGGATTATACTTTGATAATGATGGCTGATCTTAAACCGTGACAGCTCAACCATAATTTATTCATTTCATTCAAGACTTGCATTCGCGCCTACTCTAATTCTACGAAATAAGGTTACAACGCATACGCCATAAAACGAGGTTCTTCATCGATACTGCTCAATCTGACAATTTATTTGTTCATTTTATCCAGAGCGAATGGCCAAACTTCTACGCGAATGTTTTTCTTTTTCTATTATTATTTTTTGGTGTCAGGTCTTTTAAAATTTTTGTTTTTCAATTCACGCAAGCTCACAGGTTTTTTCAGACATTTCCTGCTAAAAATCCCTGTTGTCTAGTGTTTTTAGCCTAACAACCCTCATGTAAAGTTACAGGTTAACTACATAAACGATCCTAAATAGCGTGATCTTAGGCGTGCTCCTATTAAAGCTCGATATGTTGAAAGTATACTTGAAGTAGATAACATGATATTTAAAAAAATCTCTTTTTTTTTTAAAGAAATTTCTGATATAGTAATTTAGACATTCGGCGATGAAAGTGTTGGTATGTGGGTTTTTTCAACCCCCATTAGCTAACGTAGGACAGAGGAGGGGGGTTGTTAATGATTTACAATCAAAACAAAGGATTATATTTATTAAGAATTTGAAAGAATGACCTGTTTACTTCGAAAGCCAGGAAAGAAAGCCAAATGTGTCTGTAGCACAACAAACTCACGAGAGTCGTTTCCGTTTTCTTTGTATTGGCCATCTTTTGCTGCTTTTTGCGTATGCATCGCCGAAAGTGTCCAAGAATTACGAACGTAATTCTAATTAACAAAGATTTAGTAATACATAGACAGGTAAAAACCAACGATATAATATCCCGACGTTTTGGCGACTTCATGACGCCATTATCAAGGGTACGAATGAAAATAAAATTAACAAATGCGAGTTCAAGAGTTACAAGTAATTTTCATAGGGGAGGCAGCTACAAAAATACTTTAGCACGGATAGAATCCGTTTGCACGTTCAAACTCGGTGTTAATCGTTTGATGTAAAGCATCTTGTTGACAAGACAATCGAATTTGTTCATGCACTTCTTGAGAACTTTGAAACAGCTAAGAAGGTCCTCAGGGACAGCACCTGCGTGGTCGTTGTCGTAGTGCTTGCGTACTGAAGATGACGTGCTCTTATGGCTATCCACGCGGGCATATAAATGCCCACGTGTGTAACCAACATAGCNTGCAATAGCGAAAATCAGACCTGAAAAAAATCAGGCCTGTACGGGATTCGAACCACTGACCTCTGCGATACTAGTGCAGCGCTCTACCAATTGAGCTAAAAAGCCAACTGGGAGCAGTTCGTTAAGTTGATTCGTAATAAACCCGTGATGATAAATCAGATACAATGAATATATAAAGTTCATATATTTGAACTGCGGTATTGCATACGTATGATGCACGATCCTTCGCAGTAGATAGCGCTATTATGCAATAGCGAAACTCAGTGGTTCGAATCCCGTACAGGCCTGATTTTTTTCAGGTCTGATACCGCAGTTCAAATATATGAGCTTCATATATTCATTGTACCAAATGCTGTAATTGTTTGTTAAGTGCAGGTTTTATCTTATTTGTAAATAAAAAGCTTCTTTGAGTTTTAAATCAATTGAGTTGTTGGCAGAATCCAGAATACTAAAGCAAGAAAGGGAGTATTCGTCCTTACAGGAAGGAGATATGTTGAAATGCTTAAAAATATGCGAGTTTTTATCGCTCTCCATATGCTCCTTTATCCTACTAGAGAAGTGGCGACTAGTTTCGCCAATATAACGAGAATTACCTCCCGCACAAGAAAATTGATAAACTACCATGGATTTTCGAGCATCAGGAGTACGATCTTTAACGCTGAACATGTTTTTAATTTTAAAAGAAGTGAAAACTAGTTTGATATTTAGGTCCGATTTACAAAAGCGCTTAGTGAGTTGTCTGAGTTTGACAGGAAAAGAAAATT